GTACCATTTCCCGAAGTAAATAAAGTACCATCCATTAGATTCCTTAGTTCAAGTAGATATCCATTCTTTTTCTTCCTCCTGAAAGTGTAGACAAATCCGAGTGTAATCTTCAGTCACAGTTAATTGAATCAATACATGTCTCCCATCCATGAGCCCCACTTTCCACTTTTCTGTTAACTTGAGATCATCAAAACTTTTCTTGATAACTTCCATAGGTGGGTCCCCCATGAAAACTTCAATAAAAGCAAACTTAAATTTTTTAGTCAAAGATGAAATTTCTAACTAAGAGAAAAAAAGTGTTGTTTTCCCACTTTTTTCTGCTTGCATTCTTAATAAAAAGTCAGTCATCTGTACCATCATGATAGTCCTTATAACTTGAGGGGAAAACCGCCGTCTCCACCTGAGGATTTGTCAGGTTCAACAGAAGAAAGCAAGGAGAAGCCCTGCCAAGTCGGGCAAAGGGCAAATGACGTGTCGAATACAAGTCGAAAGCGTCGGGGCAAAGCAACAAATGTCGAAGTCGCGGAACAATTGCAGCTGACGAGGTCCACCAAGACGGGAAGAGCTGCGTAGAAGACGCAAACCGCAAAAAAGGGTGCCTCGACGAAGCTCAGCGAAGATGACGCCGAAGCCCTTCGCTCTTGGGCGGTACAAAATGATGCATGTAGAAGGAGACGATGTGCGCAAAATCCGAAGGAGAAGAAACCCTTCGTCGTCGAGTACGAGAAATCCTTCGTCACCAAGGACGACAGAAACGATTGAAAGCCTAAGGATTCGAACCAGGAAATCGCCATAGGGTGAAACCCTAGCTCTGTCCGCCATCAACGCCATTGTTAGATATGTACATAACTACATATGTACATATATACATATACATTATATACATAAATATATATATGTAGATATGTACATATACTTTTTTTGTTTGCAAATGACGATATGTACATACAAGTCTTCTTGCATCAATGGCCTGAGGCTATATATGAGCCTCAACCATCTCCGATCTACCTAAAAAATGTTTGTTTTTTCTTAGGTTGTTTCGTGCGCACCTGCTCGATTATCATGGTCTGCAATGGAAGAAGTCAGTTGTAATCCACAAAAAGATGTAAGAGTTGTCCCATAGGTTGAATGGTCGGAGATGCCCTACGATGTTAACTTATGCTGGAACAAGGTCAAAAGAAGAGTACATTAAAGATGTATGATTCGTCTCAGGTTGATAGCCAGAGATACTCCATGACATTTACCTGTAACAGACAAAATCATGAAATCCACCAAGAATGGTTATCTATACAAAGTTATCAATCAAAAATTCTACTTGACGACTGTAAAATGTTATAGAAGAGATCGAAGAAAACCCACTAATAATTTTTTACCAATCTGAGGCAGTTGGGCAAAATTTTTGCTTGATGACCATAGCTTGTCATGGAAAAGGTCGAATCGAGTTCTCTTATGATCAATTAAAACCAAAATGAGATGTCAGAAATGCTCTATGTTTCTCAAGATTGGGTCATAAACCGCAAGGAACCGTATTTTTTTTTATAAATGTGATTGCAATCATGCTCAAGAATAATGTTTGGCAACTTGCTAGTTGTTGCTTTTGAATTTGTTATCACCCAATGGGGGTGTTTTTCATAAGATCTTAGAAACAAGCCTATGTATCGAACCATGAAGAAATCAACTTCCTGATACAGTTAACGTAGAATTCCACTATGATGAGAGTTGCTGAGAAAACGTTATTCATAAAGTCAAAGAAGGTTCATTCGCTAGTTGAATAATGTATATCATTGAGAAACAAAGCAGAGGCTCAACTTCTTAAACTTAAAGACAATGTCAAATGAGACTTTGTTTTCCATAGACTGCTGAAAGCTCCACAATAGTAGAGTGATGAATTATCATCTTAGCAATGCACAAAAACTCAACGCATATAGTTATTTAAAAAGAAGTAAGCAGGAAGAGACACCTTGACTTTTTACGTGAAAAGTCCTAAAAAGGGGAAAAAATTATAGGGTCTAAGCCCAATTGAAATAATCTACTATGAATGGTGAGTGCAAAGGTTCTTTCTTCTCTTAAATTAAGGAATGAGTTACAAAGTTGACCATTTCAAATGTACAACAATAGTTCATTAATAATAGTCGCAGTTTAGCTGAAATGAATTTAGTTCTTCGTGATAAGATGTTCTAATGGCCCTAGTCAATTGTTACAAAGATAGTAGTCTATCGTGAATGTTGTAGATGGTGATTGTAGCGCTAACTTGTAGTATATGTCATAGTTAAAAGTCATGGTGATACTTGGTCATGTGAGTCGGAGATAGTTGTTTTAGAAGCATGAGTTAAACACAGAAGCAATAATAAGAAGCTGCAAAAGTTGTAAGCCACATAAGCCATAGTGTTGAGCTAAGATAATGTTGGTAAGCTGTAAATGCCAAAATTTGGAGTTGCACGAGATGTGAACCAAGTAGACAACAGTTGGTCACATAAGTCGTGGTAGTGGGCTGCAACAAGAGAGCTTTAAAAGACTAGAGAAATTCCTTGTCCAATGAGTGCATTGTCAGGCTGCTTCGAGAGACATCATTGCACCGTATATGAGATCCTCTTGTTATATCGTCATCGGGGTGCATCGATGCACCGTATGCGGTGCATGTCATTGCACCATATGCATGGATGTCGTTGCACCATATTCGAGGTGCGTTGTTACACGGTACACTCTGGACGGTTTATTGTTCCGTCGAGGGCTTCCCTATTTTGTAACATATTTTGGGATTCCACGACACACGTTATAATTTCACAAGAAATTTCACTACAAGGAGCAGGTGGTGGCAGATGGTGGTCGGCGACGGTCAGTAGCGGTGGTCAACAGCTACAAAAGTGGGAAGCATTCACCAGATTTTCAGTGCAGAAATGACACTGTGCTAAAGCTCTTTCTCACAACCCTTAAGCTCAGGTATAGATCCTCTCTCTCAAGAGGGGGGTAGAGTTCACTTTTGTAAAGTATGGGAGAGGTCACATTACAAATAAGAAAAGAATTCATGTCACTCCATCGAACGAGTGGGAGAGATTCCCTTGATCAGATGGTGTTCGATAAACTTTTGAGAGCTTAATGATGTCAAAATTGAGCGATATTTGGCTTGTTTGATTTGTTTCGCCGAGACACTCGATTCAACTATAAGCTCGTCAGATTTGGAATCCATTTGACCTTTTATTTATGCACTAAAAGATCCCAAAAGTGGGTTAACGACTTCATGTGGGCTTCATTTGACTCTGATTGGACGATTTTCATATTATTTGGTTCGTCACACTGAGCCAGTCAATTTAACTATAAGTTTGCTAAAATTAAAGTTTTAGATGATTTTTAAACAAAATTTGAACAATTCTTGCTCAAAACATTATCTAGAAATTTGTGTCATGCCTCAAAATTCGAGTCAGATGATGAGAATTTGTTGTTGGTGTTACACAATATACTGCATAATTAAGTATGCAATGTAAAACATTGCATGTCATGTTATGATCCTGATGCATGCTTGTATAGATTGACTGTTAACAAGTTCATATGGCACATCATATATGATAGAATGACTATGATGATTGCCCAGGTTAAGACAAAAAGTTCTGATCAGATGAGCCTTACTATAGAAATAAAAAGGATTTTTGGCTTTTAATATCAATGTTGAAGACAACTCAGTTCGTATCAAGTGGCCGTTGATAACTAAAATATTGGGTTGCCAAATTTTATCAATTGTTACTATGGCCGACAAGCTAGCCGAGTATATAAAAATTTAAATATACCAAAAATCCTACACAATTATTATAGGACATTTCTATGATAAATGAGTACTAGGATTAAAAATTTGACACTCAAAAATTATATTTCATTTTTTTTTTCTAAAAAGATTCAGGTTTATTATTTCCGATCAAGTCTTTTATGCAGGCAATTAACAACTATATCGTAATCTTACATCTATTACACTATAAGCTGAGTATGTCTTTGATATTATGTTTAAATTAGTTCTATAAAACAGCATAGCATTCCATGTATTTTTCTTGTATGTTTGAATATTATATTAGAATTGTTTATTCCATTGAGAGATGAACTTCGACAATATAACTATAGTTTCAGGAAAAGGGAAGAAGCAGGTGGGACAGTATATCTAGTCATTTTTGGTCATACAATTTTAAGGATATTATAGAATTTTAGTACGTATAAATTTATATGCGAAATTTACTTATAAGCCCTGCAGTCCTTTTTTTTTTTTAATGAAGATTTGATTTATATTTTTGTTTAAAATCCATCTATTAGGGCATTTGAAGCGAAATTGCAAGTTTTGGGATAGTTTAGGTAGGACTAATTTTCCACTCACTTGACCCTAGTTAGTAAAAGTTGAAATGTGTTGATGAGAAATATGTCTAACTAGATTTTCCTCTTCTACTACACCTTTGATTGGCTAGAAGTTAAACAAGGTTTGACCTTTACTGAGTGTACAACTGTCAATTATCAGCAAAAGGATGATACAAGAGGTATGTAATGTTAACTTGTATTACCCGTTCATTACTGAACAAGAGATACGTAATGTTAAGTTGTATTGCCCATTCATCATTGAACAACCATACATAAGTTAATTATAAGAATAAGAGAACTAGCAGCATTCACACTAAACTTATCTTACTGCTAAGTGATATAGGTATTCTCCCCGTAGGGGGGGGGGGGGAACTATATCAACCTTCCCACCATCTAGAGAAAGACCAACTTTAAATCCTTTAAATGCAGATAAACTGAAATCTGTTATGTGCATAAATTTAGTATGGACTCCTTAACTACGGATTATCATACAAATACATGTATATTTTACTACAAATGTAATTTACAAAACTTAATGGTTATCAAAGTGGGCATTCCACAAGAAGTAAAATTTTTGTTCACACAAAACAATGCTTAAGAGAATTTGGGATGCAAAAATAGAAAAATTTTCAACTAGAATATCAAAAGGCAGTCCAATTCTTACTTACAGGTGGATAGGTCGGCACGTAGTAAAAAGGTTGAGGTTGACCAACAATCATCTGCGTACCATACTTCAAATGCAATAACAAAATTAGAAACTTGACAGAACGATTGAACAATTAAATCCACATAACCAATGCGGATAATTAGGTAGAAGAACTTTTAAATAGTAATATCGTACCTTAAAACCAAAAAAAAAAAAAAAAAAAACAGAGAGGTAGCTCCATACCATGGGACCATTAGCATGAATGAATGGAGAAGATTGTAGTTGAGGGGCCTGTGGATTGTAGATGGCTTGGTGTGCGCCAAATGGTGGTCCAATCTACACAATTGTTTGTTACCATCACAAAGATACATATGGAAACAAAAGAAAAAGCCTTGAATGTTGTTGATGACTGAAAATCAAATAAAAAGGAAGCTAAAACTGACAATATCTCCTTCGAGTCAAATTGGCATGTAGATAAAAAAAACATTCAGAGCAATTAAACATAAAAATTGATTCTCATGAAAGGTATCTGTAGGATAATAAATCATGCTCATCGTATTCTTTTGGTTAAACAGGCCCATTGGCAGTAGTTTGAAATATTTCATCTACTCCTGATCACGGCATTCAAACTTTATACAAGGATAAGCTTCCTTATCTTGACTATAGAAATCTGTGTAGCGAACTATGCTTTATCAAATGACTAGCTCTTCTATCTGCAGATCTTGACTTCCAAGTGCAGTTGGTGAAGACACGTAAAAGTGCATAGATGAAGTAAGAATACTTCTGATGTAAATGATTATGAAGGATAAGCAATATCAAACATGCTGTTTTGGATTTCCACTATTCTTCAACATATTAAATTATTTGTAGGTAATTTGGGCACGAGAAAGCATGTAATAGATTTGTCCCAAGCAAGTACATGTGCTTCAAAAGTATGCAACGAAACAGAATAAAAATCACTGAATACATAGAAAACCAAAAAAAAAGCAAAAATTGTATAGAAAAAGCTGTTTCTGTATTGATATAAATGATTGCCTTTGTAAATAAATCTATGATTATCTTTAACTAATCATTGGGGTATTTCCTATAAAAGAGAATGCAATGATCAACAAGCGTGGAGAACTTAAAACAATCAAGTATATCATTATCATAAAAAAGTGGCAATTTTGTTATTGGAATACTTCATACCAGTCTTTAAGGCATTAAATCAAACTAAAGTTAGAAAAGCACATAGATCTAAATACTGCCATTTTAGCTGTTCATATGGATCGAGAAATTCAAGAAAAAAAACATAACAGAAAGAAGGGAAAATCTAACCAATGTGATAGTCTGTGTAATATATCACCATATTATGTATTGGTGAGAGGAAAAAATTTGTAATATTAATAATAATAACAACAACAATAATATCAGTTCATGGCTGAGAATAGAATATGAGCATCATAAAACCCTGCAAAACATAGGAAATGTCAATACGAACAAACCTAAACACTTACTGATACTTAGTGGTGCAACAAAAAAGATGAATCAAGTATCAGAAAGAAAACTGGCGAGGTGGAGAGAGACATTGAGGAGACAAAAAAAAACGCCTTAAAAAGCACCGGTAAAAATTAAGAAGAAAAAACCCAGGAAGAAAGAATCTGCAGAAGGGAGGCCTATGAACACTGATTTCATTCTATATCAATACCAATCAAATTGAGGCTTCGTTTGAGAAGAATCTACATTTTGAAAAAGCCCGTTTAAATGTTAAAATGGAGAAAACCGCTTTATAAGCTACCCCTCTTAAATTTATAACGACTGTTTGAGTTAAAAGCCATCTTTTAACATTTTAATTCTATTAATTATTATGAATGTTTATAATGACTCTTTTAAGTTACCCTTCTCAACTCTGCCCCCTAACAATGAGCTAAACAAGTCAAGTATACTCATATTCCTAAACTATTGCAATACAAGGAAAAAAAAAAAAAAGCAAAATGCATGTCAATTAAACTTATAACAAATCAATATTAATGTTTGACATGCTATCAAAGAGTCTTAATATATCAATAGCATATCAATATCATTATATATCTATACCGTCGTCATAGAAGCACTTGTCTAAAAATTATACCACTTAAAGTACTTTAATATCAATAACTTTTTCCATATACATGCATTGGTAATTAAGTGTTCCCCCACGAGCACCATAAATAGGTGACTCCATCAAAGACAAGCATGCACACACAAGCACAATATAAAAATATTACTTTCTAATAATGACTATTATATATTCATTTACATAGTAGTTGATATTTTGTATAGGATTCAATAATAAATTAAAAAAAGTTGAGCACATAGGTCATTCTTACAATATAAACAAAATTCATTAGAGTATAAAAATGCATTCGGTCGAGAAACAAAGTATTACAATAGCAAAAGAAAAAGATTACTCGCCTCGATGTCAATTAAATTATTATTTGATTTATCTTGACGTCGAATCTTCTAAATTGAGAACATAGCATAGATATGATATTTAATACCAAACATTAGATAAGTTAACATTTTAATTAGTCATTAATTTTACATTATTTATCTATACATTTTTCATATTTTACTATATGTAATCCTGCTTAATTTTTTTATTTAATAAATAAATAAATATAAATATATATATCTTATGATTATTAATAATAATAAATGAATTTAATAAAAATTCTTAAATCTTACATCGGTTGAGCCCTAATCTTCTGTGCGCGATTTTGAACCACTATGCCCCAGAAATCGACATCAACTCGTAGGAATGCCTCAATTATATTCTTCCTCCCCTCGCCTGCAAAGGTCGCACAGCCTCCTCTCCACCTTCGCATGAGCCTCATTCCTTTCCTTCGATCCATAGCACTGCGTCTTCCCTATGTGAAATGCTGGCCTTGCTCCTTACCGCTTCTCCTTCGCATTGAGTCCCTCGATGATTAATGCTTGATGTCGATACTCTTTCAAGCCTCCTCGTCGCCGACTAGGACATCGTCTCCCGCACTGCTCGAATGAAGATTCTCACCTTTGCCCATGTCCCTCAAGTGTGTCCTTCGGTTTCGCCGAATTCCCATCTCATCTTCCCCTGTTCGACTCTTCATTTCCTCTCCTCCCTCTTCGGTTTTCGTCTCGTTTCTTCTCCACCTCTACGACCATCGGAATCATCACTACTCCAACTATGTTCTGACACTTTTGATTTCTCTCTCGGTTAAAAAGAAACGGGACGTTAGAATCTTCCCCACTTACAAAAATTTTGTCCTCAAAATTTAAAAAAAAAACCTACAAGTCATTTCTCCAAGTAGTCAACATGAACTATCCACAAATTTTCTATCGGACTCCCTTCTTTTATAATTTTGGCTGTATTCATTTGTCTGAATAGATAAAATTTTTAATTTTAGTCAACTTAACTTTAATTTTGATTATTATCAAAATTTTCTAATAATTATTTAATTGGCTTGTTCATCTAGATTTCATTAATTAATCTTTATCTTTTGGCACTGATACCACTTTTTTCACGACCCAACCCAAAGTTTAGAACTAACAAAGGAAGGAATAAAAAGTCGAACAGTGTAAATTAATTTTTCTACAATTATTTACTATCTAACGAATCGTAGAGTCGCTAATGATTATTTAAATTTACTTCAATACTGATTCTCCGCGTCTTTTATAAATATTATCTCTTCTATCGCTAATATTTTAATCACTTAATTAACGTCCAAAGTTATTTCAAAATAACAATGAGCTAGACAAGCCAGTGAATGCTCATATTCCTAAACTACAATAATAAAAAGAAAAAGAAAAAAAATTGTCAATTAAAGGTTTAATAAACCAATATTAAAGTTTGAAATGTCATTAATGAATCTTACTATATCAATAGCATATTAATATCATTATATATCTATGCAACTATTGCAGAATCATCATTTAAAAATTATATTATTTAAAATATTTTAATAACAATAACCTTTTTCATATACATACACAAGTATTTTAGTGTTCTCGCACTAATATCATAAAGCATTGACTCTATCATAGCCAAGCATGCTTTTATAAGCAAACTAAAAAAAAATTTACTTTCAAATAGTGACTGTTACATTCTCATTTGCATAGCAGTTCATATTCTTGTACATGAATCAATCATAAATTAAATAAAGCTAATTAAACAAATAATTTTTAAAATATGAATAAAATTCATTAGATCATAAATCATGGGTATGTAGTTTTGTGACAGTAACAGTAAATTCATTCGGCCGAGAATAAAATAAAATATTACGATAGTAAAAGAATATGAGTACTCGTCCCAATGTCAATTAAATTGTTATTTGATTTGTCATGACGTCAACTTTTTAAAATTGTAAACCTAACATGAACATGATAATTATTATTAAACTTTAGATAAATTATTATTTTAATTAACCATCAAAGTGATGTTTTACTTTATGTAATCCCGCTTAATTTTATGTTCAACAAATATAAACATACATAACTATATATTTATAGCTGATAGCTTATTATAGTTATTAAATAAATTTAATAAATCTTACATTAGTCAAGCCCTATTCTTCTGTGTGCAATTCTAAATCACTGTGCACTAGAAATCGGCTTAGGCTCGCACAAATGCCTCGATTTGATTCTTCCTCCCTTGCTCGCAATGACCATGCGACCTCCTCTCCACTTTCGCACAAGCCTCGTTCCTTTGCTTTGATTGGTCGCATGACTTAGACACCGGCTCCGCCTCTTCTGTAAGTGAAATGTTCGACTTTCCTCCTTACCACTTCTCCATCACATTGAATCTCTCGAAGCTTGACACTGATACTTCTTCAAGCCTCCTCGTCGCCGACTAGGACATCTCCCACACTGGTCAACTCACAAGTCTTTCTCACCTTTGCTTGTCCCTCAAGTGTGTCCCGTTATAGAGCAAAAGTAATCTTCAATTTCCCTTACTCCTCTCCTCATCCTCCCCCTTGTTCGACCCTTCATTTCCTCTCCTCCCTCTTTGACTTTGTCTTCACATTTCATCCCCCTCTCTACGACTCTCACTCATTGCTTCTTCACCCACTCTGTTCGACACTTTCGATTCCTCTCCCAAATAAAACAAAGACATAACGTTACAAAACTACTCCTAAATGACATAAAATAACTGATTGGACACGTCCTTACGTATAAAACTCAATGATGATAACATCTTACTCAACATAGCTTAATCCCAAGGAATTTTATAACTATTAACTCTAATCAGGGGCAGAGCAAAATTAACTTGGGAGTTGCCATGCAATCTTTTTGGCCTCTCCTGCAGTGCTGGCTAACCACAACAAGATTTGAAGTAACTAGAATGGGGCAGCAGCATTAAGAGTTAAGAATACATCTAAAGCGACACCATAGCTACAGGATGTCTAATATCAAAACTTGGCTACATATTTGCAATTTTCTTTAGAATTTTGTATTTATAAAACCCAACCTTTTTTCTACAAAAGTGAAAATGTTTGTCATTATTAGACTAGATTATTTCGGTAACTTTTTTAGTACGATAAGAACTTTTTATGAATATTTTCATCAAAAATTTTCTATTAAATAGTCTAATCATATAATTTTTCAATCCTAGTGACAACTTTCTAAAAACAGAAGACTACTTTAACTTTTTACTATTAAGGAATTAAAAGTAATTTATTCAATTCTCTCCCAACCAACCTCTCCCCTCATCCTAAAATTCTACAAACCGAAACCCCACATAACCGTGGGTTACCATCAAAGAAGAGATGTATCTCCCTATCTCTTCAATTTTAAAAATCAGCATAGATGATCAGTCAAAAAGCTTCCGAAAACCATAATCATGTCTCCAATCATTCCATCCAAATTTGAGTGAAGGCCTTGATCCGCTAACTTAAATTTAGATATCATATATTCTTGGAGACTGCAAGGAAAAACATGTATAATGGTAGTTATATACGGAAGGGATGGAGAGAAGCCATCCAAGTATATCAAATAAAACCATTGTTCCACATTTTTTAACTAAAGGGACAAACTAGAATGCTGGTCAGATTACAAGTAATTCAGAAATATATGTAGAAAAATTAAGCCAGAAGTTTAGGCAACCAAATAAAAACTCTGCTTTTTTGTAAGATTTAATGGATGCATAAAGTAGAGCAATAAACCAGGTGTGAACTTCTGTTCAGATATGCAGCAAAAAAAACGATAAAGCAGGTGACAGCATTTAACATAGTTTAATAAATACAAAATGAAATTGTTGAATTCTGAAACCTTACCCCAACACCCATAGGCATGTTTTGCATAGGTGGTACAGTTGGAGCAGTATTGGTGTAATACAAAGAGCCGTCAGACATTGGCACAGAAGGTCGAAATGAAGAAGGGGTGAAGCTTTTGGCATTTGGATTGAGCTTAAATTCCTGGATCATTGAAAGTGATCATGAAATATCATATATGAGACCAAAATGAAAAAATATAAATAAGTAAAAGATGCAAAAAGTAAAATCTTATCTTGTCACTACAACTGGCAAAAAAAAAATTACACTACAAGTACCTTGACATTGGGATTCAGGGTTGACCTTTCAGAAGACAATGAACACAAAGAGCTTGGTGATAAAGTAGGGCCAGTAGAAGCAGAATCAGCAGCAACATGCTCACACATAGCTGATGTAGACGTTACAGCAAACTGAATTTCAGGTTCATTACGGACAGAAATCTTGTCTGAAGGTGCAAGGTCTGAAGGCCGACGAATCATATCTTTATTTTCTGGATCAAAAGATGAAGGATCATATACAACAGCAGGGGAAGGCAATCCTTTCTAATTGACGAAATTTTTTTCATAAAAAAGTGGCATGTCAATGTATGTATGTGTCTATATCTACATAACTATATATATATTGTATGAGAAGAGCCTAAAAGAGGCACCCTACTCATATGATACAAGTACAGTAATACCCCAACAAAAAAATACAGATAGACTCAATCAAATATAAAACAAATTTAAAACATGCAAAAAATAAGTAGCTAGGGATGAGCCAGTTTAGTACTACCTCTTCCTCTGGTTTTAGGAGCGGAAACAGATAACAATCTTTGAAGAGTCGTGTCATTGTCAGGAGTCACCAGAGTATCATCCATTAAGTTTTCAAGTTGGAGTGTGCCC